TGTTCATTTCAAATACCTTCTTTAGACAGCATAACAGACGACTATACACATGGACCTCACTAGATGGAATACATAGAAATCAAATTGACTACATCTGCGGAAAGAGACTATAGAAAAACTCCATATCATCAATCAAAACAAGGCCAGGGGCAGATTGTGGAACAGACCATCAATTACTCATATGCAAATTCAAACTGAAGCTGTAGAAAATGAAAACAAGGCCACAAGAGCCAAAATATGACATTGATTATATCCCACCTGATTTAGAGATCATCTGACTAATAGATGTGATACATTAAACACTAAAGACCGAAGACCAGAAGAGTTGTGGGATGACATCAAGAACATCATACATGAGGAAAGCAGAAAGTCATTAAGACAAAAAAAAAAGAAAAAGGTCAAAATGGATGTCAGAAGAAACACTGAAACTTGCTCTCCAACGTAGAGATTCTAAAGCAAATGGAAGAAATGAGGAGGCACAAGAGCTGAACAGAAAATTTCAAAGATCAGCTCGAGAAGAAAAAGACAAATATTACAAAAATATATGCAAAGATCTGGAGTCAGAAAATCAAAAGGGAAGAACACGCTCAGCATTTCTCAAGCTGGGGGAACTGAAGAAAAACTTCAAGCCTTGACTTTCGTTATTGAAGGATTCTCTGGGCAAATTATTGAATGATGCAGAAAGCATCAAAAGAACATGGAAGGAATACACAGTCACTGTACCAAAAGGAAATGGTTGATGTTCAACCGTTTTAAGAAGTAGCATATGATCAAGGACTCATAAGATAGCTTATTTTATGATTATTATTCATAGTTGTTATGTACAGTCAAGTCGGTTCCGACTCACAGAAACTTCATGGCATTTTCGAGGCTATAAACTTCTAGGGAAGCAGAAAGCCTCATCTTTCTTCATGGTGGGGCTGGTGGATTTCAAGCCGACCATGCAGTTAAAAGCCCATTTGTAACTGACTACACCACCAGTGCTCACCTTAGACACTTTATAATTCCAGATCGCCCCTCATTGGGGAGATGCTTGTCCCCTCACTTTTTCCCTGACAAGCTTTCTATAACCTGCTTTAATAATTTCTATTCCTGTGGAAAACTTTATGCCTCTCTGGGTCATTGTGAGGAGCTCTGGTGGGTAGTGGGTTATGTGTTGAGCTGCTAATCTTGTCAGCAGCAGTTTGGATCCATCAGCTGTGCTGCAGGAGAAAGATGAGGCTTTCTGCTCTTGTAAAGATTTACAGTTTCGGAAATCCTATTGAGGGTCTCTATGAATCAGCACTGACTAGATGGCACACAGCCATCATCACCACTTGGTCATTCTTGTTCAGTAGAATGTAAGGACCCTCCTTTAAAGGGTATAGGAGAAAACAGCGTGTGGCCACCCCCCATCCCTTACCCCCCTGAAATTCCATTTACATGAAATGTTCACAATAGGCAAATCAATAGAGATAAAAAGTAGATTAATGGTTGCCAGGTGGGGTTCTGGGAAGAGTGACTGCTAACGGCTTTTTTGGTAGTAATGAAAATATTCTAAAATTTATTTTACATAACTCTGTAAATAGTGCTAAAAAGCACTGAAAATACACTTTAAAAGGGTGTGTTTTATACTATGCTAATTTTATCTCAATAAAGCTATTTAAAAAAAAAATTCTTCATGAGTGGTTTTACTCAAATTGCATGTTGAGATATATTTTAGGATTAAAAAAAAGTAAATAGATAAATGTACATTATTCTCTTTATATCATCCATTGTATTATTTCATTATGTTATCTAGAAAGTGTAAGTAGTTAGTAAACAGCTGTGAGGTATTCATGCCAAACATCTTTATCTCTTGCCCAATGACTGTATGTACTGCAGTCACATTAGAAATGTGAACTTTACTGGTTGGCTTGTTGATCTCAATACATTTGAGCTGATTACCAAAATCTCTCACAGCCAGTACTGCTGAAGCTGGGTTCCATGCTGTGTTCTCAGGGCCTCTCACTCCCCAGCCCACACTTTTCCCATAAATCTACATAGCTCTAGAGATTAAGAATAATCTCAACAGTGATCACATGGTTTCTATGAACTGCCAGGAATTCTATGTAAAATGTCATGGCTTTGTGTGTTCATTTTTCCCTAAGGAGAGTCTACAGCCTTTATCACTTTCTCAAAGAGGGTCACTTAGCAACATTTTAGAGACATACCCAAGTCCAGCTGCATTTTGAGTCTGTTGAGGTATCTGTAGGAGCCCTGGTGGTACAGTGGTTAAATGTTTGGCTACTAAACAAAAGGTATATGGTTCAAACCCACCAATCACTGAGAGAGAGAGAGAGAGAGAGAGAAAGAGAGAGAGAGATGTGGCAGTCTGGAAATACTTGGGGCAGTTCCACTCCTCCCTGTAAGGTAGTTATGAGCCAGAAGCAAGTAGACACCAACCAAAAGAGTCATCTGTGGTATTAGTTTGCCCAGCATTCTTTCTCTTTTCCCTTGTCTTTGAAGGGGGTGGGGATGGGAGAGGTTTTTCTCCAGAATTCTAGATGCTAAATCCAGAGCCTGTAATCCAGGAGTTATCCGCACCATTGCCTCCACCTCGGTCCTCCTCGTCTATGAAGGAAGCCCAACAACCTTTCATGGATGGAAGTAGGGAGACCTGGGAGAGGAAAAGAGCCACTGGACTTTCTGGAGGCTTGGACTTTCTGCAGCATTGTTGTTGTTGTTAAGTACTGTTGAGTCAGTTACAAACCATAGCGACCCTGTATAGGGTTTCCTTGGAGTGACTGGTGAGTTTGAACCGCCGATTTTGCAGTCCAGAGCATTAACCCACAGTGCCACACAAGATATCAGTCTGGAGCATAGGCCAGTAAACTCCCGTTTTTTACTTAAACCATGTAGAGTTCTGTGCTTTTGTTTATTTGTTTGTTTGTTTGTTGTTGTTTTTCACCAGGAACTCCTGTAACTGAGGAACCCTTTATTTCCTTCTTTTCTTCCTCTGCTTGGGTATTAAGAATTTAGGAGTTTGATGTTCCAGGGACCAGAAAGAGTGAAGAAGAAGAAGGAAAACCTGCATAGTTTGGAGAGCTGGTACCTGGGTCTGCAGGGACGGGATGAACTCAGTGGCTAATAGGATTAGCCATGGCGAATCCCCCAGCAAGCACTCACTGCACGCAGGGTCAGGATTACAGGGACTCAGGAGCAGGAGGGAAGCTTAGGGAGTTAGGCCACCTGGTCAACTGGGGTTATGGGCACTGCTTTGCCCAGAGGGAGAGAGGAGTCTTAACTCCTCCTGCCTCCTACCATGAGAGGAGGGAGGACTGACCCCTCTTGTCCCATCCAGGATCTTTGCAATGAGAGCCCATTGATGCCAAGACCAGTGAGCAAAGGGTGAGAGTCGGGCATCAGTGGGAAAGGTTGGGACAGGAATGAAGAGGATGACTTTCTTCAGCATCTGTTCACCCTCCCCCTTCCAGACCCCGCTGAGTGGCACCTTCCTGATCCCCTTATCTCTAAGATGCTCAGGGAAATAGGCTCTGATAGAGCCCTCCCAGAAATGCTGTCCCGGAACCATGAGCCCTGCAACTCCAGTAAGGAAGAGGGTCAGGAGGAAGGGGCCTAGAGTTAGGCAAGTCCCTTTCCCAAAGGCCATGGGACCAAGGACCTTTTAGGCCCTGATAGCCCCCATCTCAGAATGGGACCCTTTTTCTGCTTATAAGTAGGAGTCTGTGGAGCTGAGATATTCAGGGAAATGAACTTGGAGGTGCAGGTCTAGGTGTAGCTATTCAGAAAGTGTTCTTTCTCCACTTGTGCCCCCTCTAATCCATTTTTAACTGGGTCTTAGAAGGACCTTTCTAACCCACAAATCAGACCACCTCACTCTTTGTTTTGAAACCCTACCCCCCTTCAGTGACTGTGTCATAATGTCCAACTTTTTGAGCAGGTCCTCCATGACCTTCATGTATATATATATCATGTATATATATATATCCTTGCAACCTCTGTAGCGTTATCACCTGTCACTCCGCATGTCCTTCCCACCTCTGCACTCGACTTTCCAAACACACTGAGATACTAAACGCTTTTGAACTTTCTGACCTGTGCTCATACAGATTCCTTGGATAACCTTGGGAAGCACCTACTCATCTCTAAGACCCCTTCCAGCCTCCTCCAGGAAGCAAGCCTTCCTGAACCTCTTGGACAAAATCAGTCTTCTCTTACCCACCGTTAAAACACACCCTGTGCTCTAATTGTGTTTTTACAACTAGTTTCCACCTTCAGACTTGCATCTGGGGGTGGGCAGGAGAAGGACCATGTTGGATGCTTCTTTGTACCCTCTCCAATTTTCAGTGGCACAGACTCAAGAAAATATGCAAAACCAGGAGGTTGTTTACCTTAACTAATAAAGAATGTTTGCCTTGAGCATTGTGCTCTTTTAAAAGATCTGTATATATGAGATCAAACTGACATCAGCAACTGGAAAGATTAGTTTGGAGCCTTCTGGGTCAGTGAGTTTACATTAATGGTGAGGAACAACTCAGAAAAGGAGGGTGGGAATGTTACATAACTCGAAGATGTGATCAGTGTCACTCAATTGTACATGCAGAAACTTGAATTGGTGTGTGTTTTGCTGTGTGTATTCTCAACAACAGCAAAATAAGAGAAATTGTTTTTAAAAAACAAACAAGGAGACTAACTTCTTGCAAATTTACTTTTTTCTGAAAACGAGTTTGTAGATTCTTAAGAAAACGTATTTCCTTATAACTTTTAAAAAAAGAGTGAACAGATGTTTTAATAGAAACATAAAATCTCAGGTGCAACTTCTCACAAGGCTGCCATCCTGAAGAGGCTGCGCACTGCTTTAAGGCTGCACACTACAAGTCCCAGCATGCCTGGTCAATGCATCCCTCTACAGCTCTCTCCCTCCCTGGGGGTGGGGCGGGTCTGGAGGGCCGGAGCCGAGGGCGGCAGAGGCCCCTGGCGCCGCCTGGGGAGTGGAATGCCCCAGGCTGTCTCGGGCACACAAAGCGTAGGCGCAGCGGGTTGGGTGGCAGCCGCATCAAGTAACCTCCGCTGTGGTAACATCATACGCCACAGGTGTAGACAGGTGGGTGCATCAAGGGGGACTGGAAAAGGAGTTTGCACCTGAACTGAGCTGGGTCAGGGCTCGGAGACAGGAGGGAGTAGCAGGAGAAGCGCCGACAAGACCGGACCTTCCAGCGGAGGGGAGCCAGCTTTTACTACGCAGCAACAGGTGTGTGCAGGTGGGGGAGGGGCCGAGGCACTTGTAAGTCGACCCCAGGGACAGAAGGCCCCTAGATTCCAACTCCATCACTGATGTGGACAAGTTGGTGTAAAGGTTCCTACCCGTCTAAAAAGGTGTATCATCTAGAGGCTGTCTTATGTTCGGTGGTTCTCTAACTTTGCCACACATAAAAATACCTTGAAATTTCTACCAATGCTTGGCTCACACCCCCAGACATTCTGATTTAATTGACATAAGGTGTGACCTGGACATTGAGTTTTTTCAAGCACCTATTAGAGTCCTAAGGAGCTCTAGTAGGGTAGTGGTTACAAATCGGGCTGTGAACCGCAAGGTCAGTTCGAAACTACCAGCTGTTCCGCGGGAGAAAGATGAGGCTTTCTGCTCCCATAAAGATTTTACAGCCTCACTATGAGTCCGACTCCACGGCACATAACAACAACAACAATTAGAGTCCTCGTGTGACTGTGGGCTGATGCATGGGACCGCAAGGTAGATTAGAACCCCATGGTTGATTTGAACCTCAAATTCATCATCCACTCCTTGGAAACCCTATATAGGGTTGCTAGGAGTGGGAACTGACTTTAAGGCACTTAACACCATCACCAACATTACAGTAGGCACAGTGGGCACTTAACACCATCACCAGCATTACAGTAGGCACAGTGGGCACTTAACACCATCACCAGCATTACAGTAGGCACAGTGGTAGCAGCAGTGAGCTTAAGCTTAATGATTGAGAGGATGGTGTAGGGCTGGCTGAGCAGTGTGTTGTTTGTTGTGTGCACACAGTCGCTGTGAGTCGGAATTGACTAACAACAACAACTAGTAGAGTGGCCCCTAGCCATGGGTAGAGTGGTTAGAAGCCGGGATTGCTGGCTCCGTCACTTACTAATCTCATAGAACGAGCAAGTGACTGGATATCTTCGGGCGCCAGTATCCTCATCTGGAAAATGGGGATAATACTGAGGAGTGTTGGCATTAAAGCACTAAGAACACTGCCTGGCATGCAGTGCCTAGTGAGAGCTGTGATTTCACCCGCTAGTCAATGGCTCAGGTGGGTTCCAAAAGTAAAGGTGATTTTTCTTTGGTCTGTTCATTGCTGTGATTCTAATATTCTTTACTGCTGATATTTAACAATTCCACAGTTTCTGACATTTTAAGAGTTCCCACTCCAGCCTCTACCTGCCTCACAGACATACTTTTCCAGATCTGGAAACAGGCCAGGGCCGGAATGCCAGGGAAAAGGGACTTGGCCAAGGTCATTGAGCTGAAACTGGAATCCAGGCTCCTAATCCCCACGCGCCCTGGTGACCCATAGGCACAGTGCTCCCATTATCTGCCAGGAACCGAAAAGGGGAGGAGACTGAGGTGGCCTTACCATTGATTGTTTACTAACATGCCCTTGAACATTTTCTAAGTGGCTCCTCCTGGGAGACCAAGGCTTAGGGCTTCTCTCTGGGGAGCTGCTGAGGAGTCTGTGTATCCTGTGGTTTCTCTGACAGGTCCCGTTTGACTCCGCCCTGGAAAGTCCTTTTGAAGAAATGGCCCTAGTGAGGGGTGGCTGGCTGTGGAGACAGAGTAAGTGAGTCTTGTCTGTCCTGCCCCTCAGCCTCCAGCACCTCATCCTGGGGAATGGCAGTCCCATCTCTGACTTTGGCTGACTTCCACTTTTCAACACCCAGCTCAAGTATTCCTTTCTCTGAAGAGCTTCCTCTGACTCCTTGTAACCCCCATCTCCTCCCCATTGACAGCTTCCTGCTGGGTTACAGTCCTCCTTCTTGGCTCCCATAGTGCCTCACACTGTTATCAAACTGATCCTCCTATAATATGACTAGAACTCCTGGTGCGGTGCTGTAGGATAAGCACTGAAGTGCTAACCACAAGGTTGCTGGTTCAAACCCATTAGCTACTCCTTGGAAACACTATACAGAGTACAGGGTTGCTATGAGTCAGAACTGACTCAACAACCCTTAATAACAATAATATAACTGCCTTTACCTGTATGTCTCCCTACTTTCCCAGCCTGTACTAGCTCCAAACTTTAAGCAACGCAATGGCAGGAATGGGGTTTGACCCTCTGTGTGTTCACAGCACCCCAGTCCAGGACTGGACAGAGAACAGAATAGAAAAAAACACCTCTGTTCAGTGTGTTGTAATCTATACAGCTTAAAAAAACAACAACAACATAAAAAAGAAACCTCTTTTGCCTTTATTTTTTCCTGTATGGTTTCCCATTGCAAGATGTCTGAGACTAGGGCTCAGGCTTTTACCCACCTGACCAGAGTCATGATTTAAACAAGAGTTATCACAGAGACCCCTGGGACTAGGACCCCTCATGGTCCACTGCCATTTCCAGTTTAGTTCAGTTTATCAAACACTGGACACAGGTTCTGCTGGATGCCAGGTCCTTTGTGGGGAGCCATGGACCCCCAGTCTGGTGGATCAGGCAGCAGATTCTAGACAAATGACTGTCACATAAATCAGAGATAAAAGATAAGATGGTAGCTCTGGGTACGGAGAGGTAGTTACCCTTGAAGAGACCTTTGGCTTGTCCTTGATAGCTAATAGAAATGACCATTTACCATTCAACACATTTATTGAGCTTCTACTAAGGAGCTCTGGTAGCGTAGTGGCTACGAATCGGGCTGCGAACCTTAAGGTCAGCGGTTCGAAACTACCAGCTGCTCCGCGGGAGAAAGATGAGGCTTTCTACTCCCGTAAAGATTTACACCCTTGGAAACCCTGTACAGGGTCGCTATGGGTCGGAACCGACTCGACGGCACTTAACAACAACAACAACTATGTGTCCAATGGGAGGGGATAGGATGAGCAAGACAAAAAGAGCCCGTGCTCACATCTTAGTGGGGAGGCAAAAGAAGGGGTGGTTACAACACTAGGTGCTAAAGGTGAAGGGTCCCTGGGAGCACATCTGGGGCTCCTGCCCCCACCAGCCTGTCTGGTGGGTCTGGAATATCACAATATCACACAGGTTCTATCCTCCGCCGCTGGAAGCGGAACTGGTTTGCCCTGTGGCTGGACGGGACCCTGGGCTACTATCATGACGAAACTGCGCAGGACGAGGAGGACCGTGTGCTCATCCACTTCAATGTCCGTGAGGTGAAGATCGGCCAGGAGTGCCATGGTGAGCACATGTCCCTGCCCCCTGGCACTCTGACTAGGGTTTCAGGGCATCTGCACTTGGAAGGCTCTGGAGCTTTCAGAGGACTTCCATGGTCACTGGGCCTGGGTCTCTGTCAACCCCATGTCATTTGGGTGTGAGCTAATATATCAGTCCCTTATTGAGCCCTCTAGGCTAGGGACTGGATCAAGATGACATGAAATGAGGGGGCTCAGAGAGGATAAGTGACTGCTGCAGAGTCACACAGCAAGTCTCTAAAGTCCACATCCAGAACTTTGGTCACAATTATAGCAGGGTAGCTGGAAGATGGACCTGGGGAAACTGGCTGTATGGGAAGTCTGGGTGAGAGCCCAGAGAAAGAGAGTGGGCTAAGAGGAGGCTGGCAATGGCAAGTAAACAGGACCTGGAAAAGTTAGTTCTTATTGTTACTCTCAGTTTGCTTGGGGGGTGGAAGGGAGGGGGGCTAGGGGCCATGGAAACTCTTAAATAAGTGTGTCTGCTCCAGATGTGCAGCCCCCAGAGGGCCGGAGCCGGGATGGCCTGCTTACTGTGCACCTGCGTGAGGGCTCCCGCCTACATCTGTGCGCAGAGACCCGCGATGATGCCATGTGAGTTGTTCCCAGGAGCCGATGGGGTAGGATCTTGGAGAGTGACACCAAACACCCCCTCCTCTGGTGCCATCCATCACAGAGGTTGTCTCATTGGGGGGTAGGCAGGATGGACTCGAATGGCTTTGGTGAACCTCCCACACAGCTCGTGTTGAACTCAGGGCTGTTGGGGGCTGGTACTCTTCTACCTCAGATGTGTGGTTCCTGGTCACTCAGCCTGGTCAGGTAGTTAGCAACCTGGGAGGGAAGCCCTGGTATGGGGCTGAGATAAAGGAGCCCACCCTCTCCCTCCCTTCTGAGAAGATAGCTGTAGGCCTACCCTGGTGTGGAGATGGGGGATTCTGACCAGAGGGGGTGACCCAGAGGCAGCCCAGTCATGTCCACATGGGTCAAATGCAGATCCACATGGGAGACTGGATAGTCTCCCTCAGGCACCCTCTGCTCCCTCACATTCTTTCCCTTCCTACCCTCTGGCCTCTGCCCCATAGGAGAGTGAAAGAGATGGGGTGTGTGGGAGGAGGGGAAGCTGAGCTTTAGGCAGACAGAGCACAGAGCCGCCTTGTCCACCCAGCCAGGCACCATGGCAACCAACAAAGACCCAATTGTCTAGAGTCCACTGGGACTTGCTGGTGCTCAGGGTCAGAGCTTTGGGGAACTGTGTTTGTAGGTTTGGGATATGGAGGTGGGCTGCAACTAGAGAACACCCTCCCCCCATCCCCAGGCAGGTCAGACTGAAAGTCCCTTAGAGGTCACCCATGCCCAACTTCCCTCTGCAGAGATGGAGAAACTTCTAAATGGTTAGACACTCTGAATGAATTAGGCTTCAGCCTAACTTAGGGCTCTGTACATGTGACTCAAGCAGGAGAGAGGTCACCTTTGTCTACACAGTGGAATCAGTAAGGGACTGGAGTGAGAGACTGAGATGGAAGGAGTGTCTGAAATGTGGGGACCCAATCCCCCTTTATCCAAGTCCCCTCATCATGGTCTGGCATGGTTTGCTTTTGCTTTTGCAGAGCCTGGAAGACAGCACTGCTGGAGACAAACTCCACCCCGGTGAGCCCCTCCCCTCCCCTCCCCTCCCTCCTCTCCTACCCCATCTGCCATGGAATCATGGGTGACTCAGACTCGGTCTCCACCTGCCAGGAGTGTCCACTCTAGTGGGGATAGATGAGTACAGCCTCAGAGGCCCTGAGCTCCAGGTGGACAAGGTTACAGGACAGTCGGCTGGTACTCAGGGGAGGCAGAGACAAGTTTGCTGGAGGGGCTGATGTGTGAGCAGCTGGGATGTCCCAGGTGTGCTCAGCGTTCTCCCACCACTCCTCACAGTACTGCAGACGATAAGACTCAAGCTCAGCAACCTACACTGCAGGTACTCACTGTGCAAGGAAAGGAGCCCTCACTGCGGCCCACCCCAACCAGACCCTGCACTGAGCATGGGGCACAGAGAGGATTCATGCCCAAACCTTGCTATCAAAACACCCTGCAGGAGGACTGGGACTAAATGATAATGTGTGATAGGAACGCTACAGTAGGGTTTCCGCTCTGTCCTTCACACCTTTGCTCACTCAGTGAACAGTCCCTCAGGCCTAATAGTGTCAGACCTCCATGGGCCGGACTAGGCTGTCCCCATCACTGAGCACCTGCTGAATACCCAAAGCCTCTTTTGGGACCTAGGTCAGTGAGAATTTGAGAGGACATTATCTGCAGAAGGAACTATATGACAAACATGCGTGTGAGGAGCAGGAGACTGGCCTTGCTCAGGGGTAGCACCTGGAAGGAAGGGATGACCTTTGGTGCCATCAGGGTTCATGAAGAATCTAGAAGTCCAGCTGAAGGAGCTGGACTTTATCCTGAAGGCATGGGGAGTTGTAAAGGACATTACACAGGGAGGTCTGGGCAGATTTGTGGACTGACAGGCTTCCAGGTGGAGGCTGGACTGAAGGATGCTGGGAGTGAGTAGGTTGGAGTGGCGTGGTCAGCAGGGTGGAGGGACCCAGGTTTGGGTTAATCTGGCTCCAAGCCTTCGAGTCCCCTTATGTAGGGCAAATCATTCCCCTCTAAGTGGGCAGAAGGAGGAGGTGAGGACTGACCGTTCTGCGCTCTGTGCTCTATGAAGCGGCCTTGTCCCGTCTCTGTCTGCTCTCCTGCTGGTCAGCTCTCTTTCTCTGTCCCCTGGCCCTGTCTTCTACCTCCTGCTGCTCTACACACACACCCCCCTCTGGTCTCAGGGTTTATTAGAACAGGTATGTCTGCGTGTTCTGTGTGTGTGTTCACGTCTCTGTCTGGGGGCTCCCCTTTGCCCTGGTGCATGCGTCGGAGTAATCAGTACTTTGCTTTTCTGTACCTGCAGGTTTATATCCCACTCTAATTGGAGGCTCCAAGAGGAGCCCCTGACCTCTAATTTCAGCTGCATTAGGGAACATAGGCCTTGGGGACAGTCAGGGGCAAGACTGGGAGGGGGCTGCTACACAGAAGGTCTACTGAGAAGACGGGCACAGCAGAGTCCTGGACCCTGGAAGCCCCAGGTGCCTGGAAAAAGTGAAGGTGGTCTCATTCCAGAGAGAGACCACTGGTCCCTCTTTCTTTAGCTTTGGCAAAGTCACTGTCCCTCTCTGAACCCACCCCATTACCATGGGCTGAGGAGGAAGAAAATACCCCCTCTCCAGCTACAGAGAGCCCTGTAAGCATCTCTTAAGAGCTTGGCCTCTCCTGGGGTGTAGAGAGCCTCTGACTCCTCCCTCCCTCCTCCTTCTTGGGTTTCTGTGGCTTGAGCAGGCCCCAGCTGGAGCCACAGGCCCACCCAGGAGACGCCCCAAGCTCAGGTGTGTGACCCGCTCGTGGAACCCCTGTAAGGTTGAGAGGCGGATCTGGGTAAGTGCTGGCTCAGCCCTCCCTGCTTTCATACTGGCCATTAGGATCAGCCCCCCCAAACCAGGCCTGGTCATACCCCTTCCCTGGCTCCCCATCTCCCATAGGACATCAACCACAGCCCAGCCTGTCCTGTCTCACTGCCCCTCATCCTCCATTCTCCAGCCACTCTACTGACCCTGTGCGTCCAGCTGCCCCAGACCTCTGCCTCCCTCAGTCTTGCACATGCTGTCCTCTCTGAAAGACCCTTTGTTTCCTTATTCACCTGACAGACTGATGCCCATCCTTTGAGCCCTGTCTCAAAGGCTGCTGCCTCATCAGTGAGGGCTTCCCAGACACCAGGCATTGTCCCTTCCTCGTACACCAGCAAATGGTACTCATGCTTAATACTTTCTTCATTCTGCCTGTCTGCTCCTCCACGAGGCCTGGGACCTCATCCAAGGCAAGGCCCAGGTCTGATCAGCTCTGCTCTTACAGCACTTAGCACAAGGCTGGGTATACAGTAGGTGCTCAGTGAGTGCTCAGTGATGGCCCTAGTCTGGCCCTCCTCACTCCTGGCACATGGAGGTCTGACACTATTAGGCCTGAGTGGCTGTTCACTGAGTGAGCAAAGGTGTGAAGGACGGAGCGGAAACCCTACTGTGGCGTTCCTATCACACATTATCATTTAGTCCCCGTCCGTCTAGCCCCGTGTCCTCTTGCAGGGTTCCTTGAAAGCAGGTTTTGGGTGTGAATCCTTTCTGTGCCCATGCGCAGTGCAGGGCCTGGTTGGGGTGGGCAGCAGTGGGGGCTTGAGCCTGAGTACCTGTGATATGCCCGTGGCCCGTGCGTGCCTTTCCTAGCACAGTGCTTCTCAATGTGCTTGGTCATTAGAATTGCTTAGCCAGTTGCCATGGAGTCCAGTTCAAGTCATGGCGACACCATGTGTGTCAGCCTAGCACTGTGCTTCATAGGGCTTTCAGTGGCTGCTTTTCTGAAAGTAGGTTGCCAGGCCTTTCTTCCCAGGCACTTCTGGGTAGACTTGAACCTTCAACCTTTCAGATAGAGTACATTTACCAGTTCCATCAGCCAGGGATTCCCTAGAATCATTTGTTGTTGTTGTTGTTAAGTGCCATCGAGTCAGTACCGACTCATAGTGACCCTATGCACAACACAACGAAACACTGCCCAGGCCTGGGATAACCTCACAATTGTTGCTACACTTGAGCCCATTGATGCTGCCACTTTGCCAATCCATCTTACTGGGGGTCTTCCTCTTTTTCTCTGACCCTTCACCTTACCAAACATGATATCCTTCTCCAGTGACTGGTCCCTTCTGACAATATGTCTGCAGCATGAGAAATGAAGTTTGACCATCCTGGCCTCTTAGTAGTAGCACTCTGGCTGCACTTCTTCCAATATAGATCTATTGGTTCTTTTGGCAGCCCATGATACTTTTCAATATTCTCCTCCAACACCATAAGTCAAAAGCATCAATTCTTCTATGGTCTTCCTTATTCACTGTCCAGCTTTCGCATCCATATGAGGTTACTGAAAATACCATGGCTTGGGTCAGGCGCACCTTAGTCCTCAAGCTGACATCTTTGCTCTTCGACACTTTAAAAAGTTCCTGTGCAGCAGATTTGCCCAATGCAATACATCATTTGATTTCTCGACTGCTGCTTCCATGAGTGTTGATAGTTGATCCAAGAAGAATGAAGTCTTTGACAACTTCAATCTTTTCTCCATTGATAAGAATGTTGTTTATTGGTCCAGTGGTGAGAATTTTTGTTTTCTTTACATTGAGATGCAATCCGTACCAAAGGCTGTGCTCTGTGATCTTCATTAGTAAGTAGAATAATTTGTTGTTGTTGGTTAGGTGCCATCGAGTCAGTACCGACTCATAGCAACCTTATGCACAGCAGAACAAAACACTGCACGATCCTGGGCCAACTTCACTATTGTATTGTTGCCACACTTGAGCCCACTGATGCTGCCACTTTGCCAGTCCATCTCACTGGGGGTCTTCCTCTTTTAGAAGGTACTTAAAAAATTTCAGAACCTAATTCTGAATGCTCTGCTTTCAAAGGCCCTGCATGAGGTGTGGGGAATATGTAGTTAAAACAATTACGGATGAGAAAATGGAAGCTCTGAGAGGCCACCAAACGTGACCAAGGATACTCAGACTCCCAGCCCAACACTCTGTGTGTCTCTCATCCCCACACTAGGGTATACATTTCTTTAAAGTTCAGGATGCTTAAAAATAGGACTTAAAAGGCTATAAAACTAAGTATACCCAAGATTTCGGGGGGCGGGGGCTTTGTATGCGACCCTTGATTGGCTGGCATTGTCCTCACCCACAGAAGGGATAGGGCATCCAAAGAGGCAGAGGGTTGGTGATCAAGCCCTAAAGTTGTGTCCCTTGAAGTCCCTGGAGCCTCATCTGCCTGCCTACCGGTTGCCAGGTAACCTACCTGAGTTTGCCTTTGAGCCTCCCAGTCCTGGAGGGTAGAGACAGCATCCCCAGAGCAACATGAGCTGGTGTTTTCCACCCCCACCCCCACTCCAGGACATATCAAAGCCATTGGCTCACTGCAGCTATAGGGCAGATGGATATTTTCTGGACCTCAGCCCCCCTACCTGTTAAGGATTAGATCTCTCTGATCCCTCCTGGACATGGGGCCACCTACCCCAGAACGTCCTCTTGAATCACTCTTAGGGGAAAGGTACACTAAGGGGAATTACTTGAAACTTAAGTAATAGCACTGCTTGTCTGAGCTTCTTGTACTGAGAGTTGGGGGAGACATAAGCAGTGACAATACAGTGTGACCAGTGCTGAGATGGGTGCTAAGATGGGACTCCAGCAGTCTGAGGTTCAGGAAGAGTGATATATGAGTTGCATCTAAAAGACAGTTCAGGTTGTTGAAAGAAAAAAGGGTGAGAAGGACATCCCTATCAAGTAGATGAGCAGAGACATGGAGCCTTAAGTCACGTGGTACACGTGGAAAACTCCCTTATAGCTAAACTTCTTGATTCCATCCCTCACCTCAACTACTTTCAACCTGCCAGCCTGGATTTTCCTCTCAACCACTCTTCTGAAAAATGTTCTTCCGAGTTTACTCACAACTTCCAAATTGCCAATAGCTTATTCTCTTTGACATTGGCCATGTATATGGAAAGAATAGCATCTTTAGGAGATAAAGTCATGAGAGCTGGTGGCTTATTTGATATGGAAGGAAGTATGAGAAGACAAGGTTGACAACATAATATTTTGGTTTGAGTGCATTCTGGTGGCATTTAGAGAAACGTTTTTACCAGAAGAGAAGCTGTTTCCAGAGATGGAGAGATAATGTAATCCCTTTGAGATGGGTTGAGTTTGTGTCACCTGTACTCTTAGGGGACTTGGACCCTGCAGGTATGAAGCCCAGTTAGAGAGCTATAAAGAGTGGAAAGGAGCTAAGAAGGAACCAGAAGAAAAGGGGATCCTGCTCTCTCTCTGGGTCTGTTTCCCGATGGGTAAAATGAAGAGATTGCATTGGGAGCTTCCATTTAATTCAGTACAAATGTACTGGGTCCTGCTATGTGGTAGCTCCTGCAGGTGACACAAAGGAATTCGAGTTCTTGCCTATTGGTAGCTCCCAATTGGATGTGTGTGGGAAAGGAAGGGAGAAAGGCTAGAAACAAAAGATATAAGCAAAGTCTACGGAGAACTAGGAAAGAAAGAATTCCTTCTGAGATGAGGAGGCTTTCTGGACTGGACAGCTTTTGAACTTGGCTTTAAAGATTGGTAGGAATTCTTCTCTGAGCCTAAGTCTCCTCCTCTGTGGCAAGCTGTGGGAGATGATAATGCTTACCGTAAAACTAGAGGTGATAACACATGTGAACTCTTCCTTCTGGACCTGCTACGTGGTGGATACTATGATCAAGGTTCCTACCCAACTTTCCCTTCCTTCCTCTCCAACTCCTTTTACTTCCTGGTGGTGGCACTTGGCCAGGACCCCCGCCCTTGACTAGAAGAGTGGAAACATGTACAGTTAGACTATGAAGGGAAATTGGGGGTCCTGGAGAGTTTTTGAGCCACGGAGTGCTAGGTAGGAGACTAGGGTGGGAGAATGGGCACAACTAGAAGGGGGAAACGTTTTAAAGGACAAGACAATGGACATGTGCTTACACAGGCACTCTTCAGAGCTTGCTGGTCCCTGGGAGACCATTTCTAAACGTGGGGAAGTGGCTCTGTGGGGCTCAGAGGTGCCTGAGCCAGGTGTAGGAGGTGGGGGATCACTCGGGGCAGCTAACACGGCGGGGGCTCCCCAGGTGCGTGTCTACAGCCCATATCAGGACTACTACGAGGTGGTACCACCCAACGCACACGAGGCCACATATGTCCGCAACTACTACGGGCCGCCCTACGCAGGTGAGTCGCCAGTGCACCCCGCCCCCCGCCTTGCTTCTGGGCCAGGCTCTGTCCACTTGTGTTGTTCTTAAGTTTCGCCGAGTCAGTTTTGACTCATAGTGATCCTATATAGGGTTTCCAAGGAGCAGCTGATGAGCTTGAACCACTGACTTAGGGGTGTAAACCGACCTTGCAGTCCAGTGCATTAACCCACAGCGCCACACAAGGGCTTCCCCGTCCCAAAAAAACCACTTTTAGTGTTGGTTGTGTGTGACCTTGAGATTAGCATCCCGATTTCTAACCGCTACGCCACCAGAGCTCCTATTTTTAGTGACTAAATTTTCTTCTAGCAGAAGCCTTCCAAGTCTTTCCCTAGAATAGTACCTCCTTAGGCCCGCCCCTACTCTGCCCGGCTGGCCAGGAGCACCTGTCCCTGAGCTGATAGCGACCTCTGGTGGCTAATGTAGGAACAGCTGCCCCCTTCCCACTCCAGGATCTAGGATCTGGCGGGTTTCAAGTTCATCTTCCTGTGTGCTCTGAAGGGACTTAGAGATTCTGGGTCCCAGAGAACTCCATGGTCCCTAAATGTCCCGAGTTACAGGGGCGTAGCCCTTCTTTTGTCAAGGCTTCAGTTTCGCTGGGTTGGAATCACGAGAGAGGCATGTAGGTCATTGTACTTAACCCTTTTGATGACACTGCCCCTCATGGCTCTCCCTGCAGGCCCCGGAGTGACGCACGTGATAGTTCGGGAGGATCCCTGCTACAGCTCGGGCGCCCCACTGGCCATGGGCATGCTCGCTGGGGCAGCCACAGGCGCTGCACTCGGCTCGCTCATGTGGTCGCCCTGCTGGTTCTAAGCCCTAGAACTCAGGGCGGAGCCCTGCCTTACCTCGCCATAGCCCCTAGACCCCACTCTACACTCCTGCAGGCGCCCACATTCCAATTCCTGTTCCACTTTGGCCCCTTCCACTTTCCCTACACCCTCCCAGAAACTTGGGACACCCCCACCCCCACGCACGCATCCATATTCGAAGTAGGTATTTCACAGGCTCCAACACCTTACTAAAATCTAAGCTTTATCGCGAGACAAACCAGAAATCCCTTATACTTATGGATGTATCCAACTTTCCCCTCAAATCCCATCCTCCCCAGACTCAAGGTAGCAGAAAGCAAGGCAGGTAGTCTGGAAGTACTGTCGTTGACAAGAGTGCAGAGCCGTAACTGTCCTGTTGGGCTGAGGTGGGCCGGTCTCCACACTAGGGCGTTTACTGAGTGGTCAGAGCTTTTTATAGAAAGTTTCATGAGTGCGCCTGTAATGTATTGCCTGTTGTTATCAATACTGACACACACTCATACCCAAACTACTCCCAGTTTAGTGCCACCCTTATCACAGGTAACTGGCTTCCTGAGCCCGTTTCCTTCAGTGCTCAGAAAGCACTTTGGCTAGGGGACAGGCCAGCTGTTTGGGACCTCTAGGCCTATGTGTGCAGTTGCCTCCATCAGTAAATTGCTTTCTGGTCCCCAGAGCTTGGCCCTTTGTCCAGAGCTGTGGCTGTTACCAACGCATTCTGGAAAACATGGAGTTGTCCCTCTAGAAGGATGGCAGTGTTCACCTCTGGGGCCCGATCCAACTTTCCCTAGTCCAAGAGGTCCGTCCTATGAGTGCCTTGTTGCAGGTGGCCCAGCAGTCCCATATGTCACCTTCCTCACCCTGTCCCTATCACCAACGGAAACACTAACATAACCTACCCACTAGCCATAGTAGTCTGCTAAAGATTCCCTGCAGATGGGGGCTCCACTGGCTCTTCTGCAGAGACCAATAAAGATGTGTTTGGCTCTAGCTGTGTTTATTCTCTCAGGAGGCTCTGCCCTCTAGATCTCCCTGGGACGTACGTCTTCATGACCCCAGCACCGGCCAGTGCTTCCTCTGGCATGTTGAGAAGAGTGTGAACTCTGAGGTCAGTGTACCTGGTGACAGACAATAGTTGAGCAACTTTTTAAACTTGATTTTACTGGACCTTGGTTTCTCCACCAAAAATGTGACAGGTTGAAGTTAGAGTGTCTCTTACCTGCCTGCCTACTTTCTGAGGGTTCTGTGGAAATGGGATCTTTTCCAGCTCTGGCTCTGCCTGGTCACCCAATTGTCAGTCTGCTGGAGGACACTCCGCATCAGGTCTATCCCTGAGATTATCCAACTCAACAGTGAGCAGCCCAGCAGCAGGTGCGTCTCTAATGTTGACCGACTTAGTTTCAAAACCAGAGGTTCCTATGTCCAGAAAGCTTAAGTTGGAAAGACCCTTTGAAACTGATGCTGCTCCCACCAGATAGAACCTGTTTTACTACTATTGGCTGTCATCACAGGAGCAGGGATTCAGTTCCTCTCCCTTTCCTTCTTCAGTGGAACTAACATCTGCCTACTGTTAACTCCCACTTGAGTGACAGCTCTACTTCTAGGCCTCAGCCACAGTGACCTCAACCTAAAAAGTTCCCAGGGACATTTGAGGACATCGAATTGATCCTTAGGAGACTGTCAGGGACACATCTGAACCAGATGTTTCCCCCTAAACCCAGAGCACAGCACCCTGAAGTTTGCCCTTTAGTTGGGTCACAGCCTTGGTGAATGGGGAAAGAATGCACAAACTGAGACCCTGGATAGGCTAAGACAGGTAAAGAGAACTGAATATAAGAGTTTCAACTACTAGGCAGACTTCAGCCTTCCCTTCTCTGAAAGAGTCATCCTGTTCCAGTATGGACTGGGAGAAAAGCAGCCTTCTCCACTGGTCAGTTCCCCTAGGCAGTTTCTCTCTACAAAGATCCACTGAATCACCATTTGGAAATCTTGATCAAGGGTGAAGGGAAGAATATGGGATGTTTTCCCATTACTGCTCTAGCTTTTCATTCTCCATGTTACCACTTTTCTCCTCACCAAGACATGTATGCATCAGACTTTATAGAAAGGTTGGATAATCAAAGGAAAAAGGAGATGAAAAATCTGTATTAAGTGAATTTTCTATAGTCAGGGACTTTAAACCTTTTACCCTACTCCCTCTAACCCCTGACCCACACAAGCACACACACACAGGCTAGTTTTTTGGTCTACTCAAAGAAGTTCCTACTTCTTCATCTTGCTCTTCTGTCCTTTGTTCTGCCTCCCCCAACAAAACAAACAACAAAACCTTTCACTATTGCCATGGTGCTCTCCACTCATCCCAGTGTACAGAGCACTAGGAGTGTAAATGGGTCCTCAAGATATGGTTTACTTTAAAATCTCTCCACTGGTAGGGCTATACCATGACTATTTTCCCAGCTGTCTAGTAGAACACTTTAAATCATTCAGACACACAATAAGACTAATCCTCACAGATAGCTGTCTAAACTAGAGGTGGCATATGAGCCACATCTAAATCATCCATTGTGTTGTTTGTGCTTTGAATTAAAATGTGTTATCACTGCATACCCACATAAAGATGAAAAGATTAGTGTGGCATGGGTATTTTAAGTGCCATCGACTTGATTCTGACTCGTGGCTACCCTATATAGGGTTTCCAAGAAGCCGTTGGTGGGTTTGAACCACTAACTTTGTGGTTAGCAGTCCAGTGCTTCTCCTCCAGCACCATACCAGGAGTGGAGTGGTGTGTAAAGACAAAAAAGATGTTAAGTCCTGCTGTGGATAATGTTAAGTCCTGCTAGTATGATACAAACTGGTGCAGTTATTTTGGAAAACTTACTGGTAAAAAGGGGTAATAAAATGTCAATACAATACCGGAAACAACTTTAATTTTATGACAGAGTATGAGGGGGCTTCAAAAAGTCTGCAAAAATTCCATTTATCTTTTAATATCATTTTCCACAAACTTTTTGAATCCTTCTTCTATGTTGTTGCTGTTTTTAAGTGTCATTGAGTTTCTTCCAACTCTTAGTGACCCTGTAGAGTTTCCAAGAAGCGGCTGGTGAACTTGAACTGCCAACTTTGTGATTCAAACCGACCTTGTAGTCCAGAGCATTAGCCAGTAGCCACACCAGAACTCCCCCTTATATATCCATTGGTAGATTCACAAAATGGAGATTATTCAACAATGAAAAAGAACTATCCATAATTACACAAAAATATGGGTGAAACCTCGCAAACAATCACAGAAGGTAGGGGAGGGGAGGGAAGTGAAATTATTCTGCTTTAAGATTTCTATACCAATGTAAAGTACTACAACATTAACTCCAGTTATATGGTAATAAAGATATGCATATTATAATTCCTAAAGCAAGCACTAAAAGCAAAACCAGCAAAAAAATAAAAACAAATGAGCCAAGTAGAAAACAAATACCAACATGGCAGACCTAAATCCAAACATATTAATAACATTAAATATAAATGGACTAAAAACACCAATATAGATGCTAATCACAGTACTTTAAAATACAGACCGCTGTTAAGTGCCGCTGAGTTGGTTCCAACCCATAGTGACTCTCTATAGGGTTTCTGAGGAGCAACTGGTGAGTTTGAACAGCTGACCATGTGGTTCACACCGACCTTGTGGTTGAGCTCTTATCCTACAGTGCCACACCATGACTCCATAGACAGTAAAGACAGCTAAATAGAAGGATGGGAAAAGGTATACCATGCACACAGTAAGTATAAGAAGGTTGGAGTAGCTATTTTAATATCAGCCAAAACAGATTTCTAGACAAAAATTTTGCCAGAAATAGAGACATTTCATAAAGATAAAAGGGTTAATACATCAAGACATAAAAATTATAAATGTTTATATACTAATAACAGAGCTTTAAAATGCAAAATATGAGGACTGAAAGGAGAGATAAGTCCATAATTATACTTAGAGATTTTAATACCCTTTTATCAGCAATTTTAGTAACTGGTAGGAAAGTAGGTATAAAATTAATAAAAATATAGAAACTCTAAACAATAGTGAAAGTACTCTGTCTTCATTGACATAACAATAGTACACCCAATATAAAAGCACAGCTTTTCAGGTGCACATGGAATGATGTGATCAACATGGACCATAAAAATGGTTCATAAAGCATGTCTGAATAAATTTCAGAAAATTGAAATCTTCCAGAATATTTTTTCACACCACATAAAAATCAAAGTTAAATAAAAAATAAGATAGCTAGAAAAGTTTCAAATATTTGGATATCAAACACTTTTTTGACCCATGGGTCAAAAAGAAAAGCACAAGGAAAATTAGAAAATATTTTGAATGATAATGAAAATATATCAGAATTTATGAGATACAAGTAAAGCAGAGCTTAAAAAGGAAATACATAGTTTTAAATGCTTGTATAATGAAGAAAAGATTAAAATTAATGACCTAAGTTTCCATCTTAAGAAGCCAAAAAAGAAAAGCAAGTTAAACCCAAAGTAGAAGTAGGAAATTCAAAATGGAAAACAGATAAACAGAAAAAATGTAAAGGTTGTATCTTCAAAAGAACAGGGAGAATTAGGAACAAGTATATGCAAATTAATTTGTTATGACAGATGATATGGACAAATCCCTTGAAAAACAACTGCATACACTGACAAAAGATGAAAAAGAAATTCTGAAGAACCCTACGTCTAACAAAAAAAACTGAATTACTTATTCATAATTCCAAACAGAGAAGACTCCATGCCCGAATCGTTTCTAATCAAACATTTAAAGAAAAGGTAATATAATTTTACACAAAGTATTTCAGAAAAGAGGACAATTTCCCAACTTATGATAGCATAACCTGGGTACCAAAATCTGCTAAAGACCTTACAGAAAGGGAAATTAGAGAGCTATAGTACTCATCAAAACATTCAAAATCTTAGCAAACTAAAGCTAGTAATATAGGAAAAGACACAATCAGCTGACCA